TCAGAGCCATTGATTGTAAAATAAGTGCACAGGACACTCTTTGTGAAATTATCTGGATGTAAAAAATAAATAAAATGTAAAAAACGGCAAGAGTTTGGTTTGAATGATGACTTTGGGGAAATTTGTCCTCCTTTTTTAATTTATTTCTTTTTACACTTTCTTTTTTTATTTAATATATTTTATTGATTTTTTTACAGAGAGGGAGAGAGAAGGAGAGAGAGTTAGAAACGTCGATGAGAGAGAAACATCGATCAGCTGCCTCTTGCACACCCCTTACCGAGGATGTGCCCACAGCCAATGTACATGCCCTTGACCAGGATCAAACCTGGGACCTTTTAGTCCACAGACCGCTGAGCCAAACCGGTTTCGGCTTTTTTTTTTTTTTTTTTACACTTTCTAAGTGGCATTTTAATTTCCTCATTTAAAAGTAAATTTTAATTCTGAAATTAGAGAGTGGTGATGGTTGCATAACTCTGTGAATATACTAAAACACACAGGATCATATGCTTTAAAATGATGTATTATATCTCAATAAAGTTGTTATTTTTCTAAAAGTAAATTTTTTAAGTTAACATACTACACTACGAGGGCAAGAAGTGTATGTTCTGCTCAACTTTGTTGCGAACTTAAAATTGCTCTAAAAAGTGTATTTAAAAAAATTATAGTCCATTCTTTGTTAATTTTCCATTGATTTTATGTTGAAGAATCCTGGAAGGCAGTGGAATACATAAATGCTACAGTATGGCAAGCTTGTTTGCAACCCCTTGCTCTTGGCAACTCTATGTGATGAATTTAAATTGGTTTTTAGAGAGAGAGAAAGGGAGAGGGGAGAGGGAAAGAGAGAGAGAGAGAGAGAGAGAGAGAGAGAGAGAGAGAGAGAGAGAGAGAGAAGGGGAGAGAGAGAGGGAAAGAGAGACATCCACATGAGAGAGAAACATTGATTGGCTACCTCCTTCAGTCCTTTTTCCAGGGCTCAAGCCTGAAACCAGGGCATGTGCCCCGACTGGGCATTAAACTGGCAACCTTTTGTTGCAAGGGACAGCACCCAACCAACTGCGCCACACCAGCCAGAGTGAAGTGACTGTGAAGTATCTGTGAAGTGACTGTCGGCATATTCCAAAACTGCTGGGTGACAATTATCCTGGAACCACTTGCAGACCCTGTGTAGAGTGATATCTATGCTCCCACTCGGATTATTCGTATTAACATGGTTAATGCTGGAAGGGAAATATCCATTTCTTCTCTTTCTATTCTGGCTCAGCTCTGGGGTCCCAGCTGATAATTAATGAACATTTTATTGTGTAGAACTACTTCGTATTAAAAAAAAAAAAAAAAAAAAGCTCTAGGCTAATTAAAAACCCACAGAGAATAAATTAGCTCCATTTATCACTTGTGTAATGTGATGGATGAGAGCGCTCCGGGCTGGCTTTCTCTTTGAGTGCTAAGCCAAAAAGAAAGGGAGAACCTGCGACAAATAGTGCATCGAGGATGCATGACAAGAAGCCAGGGTAACACCAACCGACGCTCTACCACTGAGTAAAACGGTTTCATTATAATGAATTTGGTAAAATGAGAAATAGACTTCCTAATGTTTTAAAGTTTCTTACTCTTTGAAAGGAGGTAAAAAGAAAACCCATTTTTTATTCCCAAATGATAAATGAGAAGAATGTTACTGTGTTTGGCAGGTGTGGTCTCTGGAAAGAGGCCCTACCCCAACTTGGGGTCGTAAAAATCAGAAGTTTAAATTAGCTTTCAGGGATGTGAAATCTATGCTTGGAAGCTCGGTGGAGAGAAAACTTCTTTCTGGGAGGAAACTTGAGAAGTTCTGAGGGAGTGAGGAATAAATCACACCAATATTGTTAGACTTCAAAGAAGGGTGGAAAGAAATGTCAGGGTCTCTCTAAATGAGCCTGTTGCTCACACCCACATCAATGTACCGCTAAAAGCATATAAAAAAGACCTGAACAGTATTTGCCACAAAATTTTAGCATTTCTTCTACTTTTGGTTTGCTACCTTGACAGTAATGTTTTGGACTAATTCTCATTCATGTCTCTGCTTTTTTAAGATCATCTTCCCTTGACAGAGTAACTTAGGAGGAGCATCTAAGACTGGGGACAACCCTCTTTAGGATTTGTCTTATCTGCTATGCATCAAGCTGTGCAGGCCCCTCTGCTCTGGAAAAACTGAGGAGGAGCCCACCAAGAGGCAAACAAAAATCCAGATAAAATACAAGGGAACCCACAGAGTGAGCAAAAAATGTAGGAAACTTTTGACTGAACCTAAGCAATCTACAGCTGCTCAGGTGATTCTAACTTTGAATCACGAATCACCAAGACAAAAACTGGTATCGGGGTTAATACGCTGGTATCATTTCAAAGTATATTATTTTTCTGTGCCATTTATTATCCCCTTCAACTTTTAGGGCACAAATCTTTTGCCTTTTTGTTTTTTAAAGTGATCATTGGGACAATTTTTTCTTTTCTATTCTATGGACACTAAAAGAACATGGCTGTAAGAAAAATAATACCTGTGAAACAGCCTTAGAGCATAGAACCTGGCGCACTGTAGGTAATTAAAAACGCATACACAGAGAACCAGGGCTCTGCTTATGAAGGTTTTATGTATCTACTTCTTAGGTTCTAAGCAGTTTAGCTCTTCCTTCATTCCTTTCTACTTCCATTCTAAGTACTACCATTTACTCCATCCAAGAAACAGAGAAATCTCTTGCTATATTAAAAATGAGATCATTATGAGTCTGTTTCTTCCCCAATTAAATAGTAGCATCTACTTTCGATAATCAAAGACCTATACCAGTGCAAATTCCCTCAGGAAAAAGTGGTCACTGAGCTGCACAATTTCTCATATCTCTAAGAAACAACAGGTGAAAATATATGGCAGGTTTATTGCTATATGGCAGTATGTGTACTTTTTTCCCCCCCTAACCCAAAATAAAATTGGGTTTGTTTGCATTTCAACTTGAGGAATAATCCCTTTATACTCCAAATTACAAATAAGTGTGTAGATGAATCCCACAGCAAAATAAATTTGTGATTTCCAATAAGGAAAGGTAAGAAATAATGTAGTCAAGGGAATCATCTAAACAAGAAATAAAAAACTTCATAAAAAAAAATCAAAACACTTAACCTGCACAATAAGAAAGTAAGGAGACCTAGAGAGGTAGTAAAAGCTTCAAAGTGTGAGTCACATAAGCTGTTCTGGGGCCAGGCTGTCACAAACACACTGTCACGTCATGCTGGCCGAGGTGTGTGATGGTGAGCGGAAGGTAAGGAGGGAGGAGGAAAGCTTACTGTGAGCATAATGCAGGCTGTCTTCCAAAGCTCTCATTTGCCCTAATTTTGATATCTACTTTCCAAAGGAGCAAAGTGTATAACATCCAAATAAGCTAATTTCAACCTACTATTTTTTTTTAAAGGGAGAGAAACTGCTCTGCATAAAATAAAACAAAGACATATAACAGCCAGAAAATTAACTAGCAAAAATGAACTAGTATATGCATATCCTTTTAATCTCTGCCAAGAAAGGCAGGGTAAGTCCAATCATTGGTAGTTCCCATGTAGTTTGAGGGAATTTTGAAAAAAAAAAAAATTGAAATGGGAGTTTAAAATCAAAATGTTTCTGATCAGTAATAATAAGAATAGATGTATTTTAGGGCTCATCCAATGCATTATATTATGATAATTCTCATTTATATGGTACTAGAGGCCTGGTGCACGAAATTTGTGTATGTGGGTTGGGTGTGTCCCTCAGCCTGGCCTGCATTCTCTTGCAATCCAGGACCTCTGGCTCCAAACCGCTTGCCTTCCTGCCTGACTGATTGTCCCTAATCGCCTCTTCCTGCCTGCCTGATCACCCCAAACCACTCTGCCTGCCTGCCTGATCACCCATAACGGCCTCGTTCCCTGTTGCAGCGGCTTCATCCAGAAGGATGTCCGGAAGGTGGTTCAACTGTCCAGTCTAATTAGCATATTATGCTTTTATTGTTATAAATTACTGAAGGATGAGGCTAACTAAATGTTATCCCTACCAGTATCAAAAAATTTAAAACAAAAGCGTTTTTACTGGAAATGTTTCTATAACAGATCACACAGTGAACAAAATATTAACTGTTTTTGATATTTTGGGGCTGTTCCTATGATGTAATAAAATGATATCTTGAAGAGAAACTGAAGAAGACAGGGTAGTTTATCCCAACGCATGGTCCTTCTGCCTTGAACATATTTGTGCCTATTTTAAAATAAGTACTCTGGCCCTAACTGGTTTGGTTCAGTGGATAGAGCATCGGCCTATGGACTGAAAGTTCCCAGGTTCAATTCCGGTCAAGGGCATGTACCTTGGTTGTGGGCACATCCCCAGTAGAGGAAGTGTGCAGGAGGCACATGATCGATGTTTCTCTCTCATCGATGTTTCTAACTCTCTTTCCCTCTCCTTTCCTCTCTATAAAAAATCAATAAAATATATTTTAAAAAAATAAGTACTCTAGGGTGGAGGCCACCCAGTGGCACAATCACCATCGGCCTTCCCCCACATCACTGACTGACCCTTCCACAGAACAAAATAATGAATAATGAATAAAGTAAGTATTCTGCCCGCTTCTTTCACATTTTTGATTGTCATTTCTTACGAGGCTGGTGAGTCTGACTCTCCTAATCCCCTCTCCTTCCTCATTCAGCACCGGCTTATTACGCCTGTGAAACAGAAAACTGGATCACCACGCAAGATGGAATTAATTGTGAAGAAACACTCTTAAGTGCAGAACGAAAGCCTGAGAAGCTTTTTCCTGAGTTAGAGGACGCAGAACACCTGTTCCGGCTGCCTCTGCTTTGCTTTGCCTGTCTTTCTGGGTGCCTCTGCGATGCCCCAGACAGTGAAGGCGAGTGGACAAGTTAGTGATGGTTAAATCTGGATATGTCCGTGCACTGCAAACGGGGAAAAGACTGCTTCTGTCTCTTTAACGTGCGACTCAGAGTGTGTACTGTACCTGCAACATCAGCACCCAGAGCCTCAGAATGGACATTCTGTGTGAGTTTAATTTCCTCCATGGCCATGGCTTTGTTAAGTGTTACTGAAATGAAAAGCACAGCATGCAATCTGTGAGCACAACGCTTATGAAAATGCGGGGCGAGGGCCCCACACGTACACAGTCAGTTCTGGCCTTCTGCTTCCACGTCAGTGACAGAAAGCACTCTATCTTCCAGCACGTTGGTGCATACAACATGCCACACGATGGGAGAGATGGAGGAAATGCAGTGAAACCTGTAATAAAACACTGAAATGGTGATTACATTTCACAGTCTCTAACTTCATTCACTGAATTACAGTCTCCATTCAAAATTGCTGACTCCCGCCCTAGCTGGTTTGGCTCAGGGACATAGAGTGTCAGCCTGCGGGCTGAAGGGTCCCAGGTTCGATTCCAGTCAAGGGCCCATGCCCAGGTTGCAGGATCAGTCCCCAAAAGTCCAGACAGGCAGGAGGCAGCCAATCAATGGTTCTCTCTCATTACTGATGTTGTTCTGTCTCTCTCTCCTTCTCTCTTCCTCTCTGAAATCCATAAAAATATATTTAAAAATAGATATAAATTGCTGACCCCTGCACTGGGGAGAAATTGCCTATATTTCTCCTACTTGGAAAGGAAAGGCCAGATTAGTTGAGGGACCCTTTTCCTTTTTATTATAGAGTCAATGTTTATACAAGAAGAAACGACATAATTCCCAAACTATAATAAAAAAGCGTAAGAAAAATACATCTCACCAGATTGACAATCCTCTCACATCTCATATCTTCTGTTTCAAAATGCTCTCTAATATCCAAAGATTTGTATTGTTATTAAGATCTAATTTTTCATTACATTTTAGAATAGCATAATAGGTATATAGCACCATCATAATTCTTTTGTGCCTGCATTATTTTCCAAGTAATTCAAGATCCTGTTCAGATATTTATTGTCATCGAGGTTGTTTACTAGAGAAAAAAAATATCCTGCACTGACAAACAAAGGCAAACATTTTCATTATGTAAGGCCAATTTTCACCCTCCTGCTTTGCCAGGTATAACACATTTACATTTTAAGTTTTGTTTCTTCAGAAAAATTAAGTTCCATGTGCTTTCCTAGCTTATGTCCATAGGTTCCTTTGGCATCCATCTTCCTAATAGGTATAAATAATCATCTAAACTGTCTTAATACCGCAATGTTATCTTTTAACCTTACTTATACTTTTTCAAGTACATTCTTGAAGCATTAATTTCTCTGCATTTCTCCCAATTTTCAAGTTTTGATCTTTGTAGTTTGTATAGCTCTTATCAGCTATACAACACTTTGCCAGTAAGTATTTGTGCATCTTTTCCCTACACATTTATAGCCTTTGTTGAATATGCTCTCCTCTGTGCCCTGAAATGCCTCTACCTTGGCACAGTGACTGTATTAAGCAACCTGTATGTCCTCCCTACCTCTGCATCATACTATGAAGTATTTCCTTAAACTCAAAATATCCTTTTCATGACCTGTCCCTTTCCAAGGTCAGTCTTAACCTTGGATTCACACCACTTATGAAAAGATCTCAAATAGAAAGGTGCAAATGAATATTTTTCTTATACCTATATCAGCATTACATCAAAGTCTCTACCTTTAATAACTCCTAAATTTATTACTTCCATCCTTCTCTTAATGTTACTGAATTTATTGCTATGACAATTAACAGTCTCAATGTAAATGTCATCTCTCCATTTAGACTTGGCCAGATGTATCCAAGAAATTCAACCTGGAGGAGGTCAGTCAAATCTCAGAGAGCTATCTCTTTCCCCCATGTTTTCACTTGTCATATTGAAATATAAGCTATAATATTAATGGATCCTTATTCAATTTTGATTCCTTTTGTGTATCTTTTAGCTGCTTCTTTAGCTTGATTGCTCTGTCAGTGGTAACCTGAAATCCCATTATCACTGAAGAACTGGAGAGTTTGAAGCTTCAATAGTCTTTTTAAAATTTGTTACCACTGTCACATTGCAGTGAATGTCACAATAATACTCTTGGATGCAATTTCCTGGGCTTGACTTACAAATGTCCTCTATTAGATTGGCCTGAAATCAGTTGCATTTTTCTATCATTGGATCTATTGTCACTGTATTTCGCAAAGTACTGCCTGTAGGTTGGCCTTTTATAATTTACACATCTGTATCATGGAATGTTAGCAAAGAGTTGGGGAAATATATCAATGAAGTTCATTGTATATGGGAATGTGTTTCTAATTATTTTATGCCTATCCACAATGACTTTTACAGTGCTCGTATTGGTACATTTTTCCATCTAATCCAAGTCATCAACTATTTACCGAATGCCCATAAAGGCCACAATATTAAACTACACAAATTGAGGATAAAAAAAGAAGGGTATGCCCTGGTCCGGGGGCTCAGGTGGTTGGAGCATTGTCTCATACACCAAAAGGTTGCAGGTTCGATCCCTAGTCAGGGTGCATATGGGAGGCAACTAATTGATGTTTCTCTCTCACATCAATGTTCTCTCTCTCTCATCAATAAAAACACACATATGTCCTCAGATAAAGATTAAAAAAGAAGTGTAAGTCATATCTGTCCTCAACAGAGGCAGGACACAGGATGCTCTAATACTAAAAAATAAAAAAAATTATCTCTTCTTCCTAAACTTCTAAATAAAACACAGTAGCCTATAAACATTCATGTTTTAGTGTTTGCCAATCTGATTGTGTTCAAATGATTTCCTGAGATTATGTAGACAATAGCAGGCAAGAAGTTAGCAATTTGCAATTTAATTGAAGAATGATTCTCATTTCTTAATATCAACATCTGAATCTCAATATACTTTTGTCGTTCTCTATTCATAGTGCATATGCTTTTTTTGTTTGTTTGTTTTGGTATGTGGAAAATTATATGATGTAGTGAAATGAACAATTTGGGGATGAAGAAAAATTTCGAGACGTGTCCTTTGAAAACCTCAATAGTCTACTCCATGCCACACTCCTTCTCTTGATAGTTTCTTTCAAATAATTTCTCCCAAATGAATCGGTGCTGTGATGCGCAGGAAGGGACTAACTCTGTAATCATTTTACTTGTTCAACAAACATGATGGTAACACAGCAAACAACGGGCTGAGGTTGTGGACTCCAAGATGAACAGATGTTGTCCCTGCCCTAGAGAGACAGTTTGTTGTCCATGTCTGGTGATGGGAGGCTGATATTCGTCAATCTGATACCACTCTCCCATGATGTCAGATATCAAATTCTATGTGGAATTTCAAAGGTCTTTTATGCTTATGTTGTGTAAAATAAAGTTCAGTTGTTTTTTTTAAAAAAATCCTTTCCCAAGAACATGCTCGGAGAGAGGGAGGTTAGAGAGACACAGACAGAGACATCGATGTGAAAGAAGGAACATTGATTGGTTGCTCTCTGTTCATGTCCCAACAGGGGATCGAATCCACAACCCAGGTATGTACCCTGACCAGGAATCGAACTTGCAACCTTTTGGAGCACAGGACAACGCTCAACCAACTGAGCCACTCTGGCTGGACAAAGTTTACTTTTTTTGAGACTGGAGAAAATTCACCTCACTCTACTTATCTGAAATGAAGTACCTTCCTTAGGTGACTTGGTTTCTTCTGCATAGGGCATTGTTTATGTTTTTTATTTTCCCCAAAGCCTATCAAAAGATGACATGTTAGGTTTTAAGGCATTCTTTTTAATCTATTGATCAGCTTTCTTTTCTTCTCTTGTTCATTGCTTTACTCTTCCTTAGAGTCAGCCTCTTCCCACACAGTCTTCACAACACTATTAACCTTCTCATATACTTTGTTTGTATTTTAACACTTGTCTCATGCCCTCCTCACAGACTGGAGAATGCTGTTGAGAGAGAGAAAGAGAGAGTGAAAAAAGCAAAGGAGGAGGAAGAGGAGGAGGAGGAAAAAAGTAGGAGGATAGGAAAGGGAAGGGGAAGGGAGGAAAGAGGAAGGGAGGGGAGGAAAGTCATTCTGAAATCGTGGCATCAGGATGAGCAATCCTACCTAGTATAGGTACCACCCAACTCAAGAATTAAGTTGCTCCTATTAACAGATGCCAAAGCAAAACAAGCCTTGGCAAACGGCATCCTTATTTGTGTGCTAATCAGAATTCTAAATTGGAGTTCCAGTTCTAGAAATTAGGAAGTCCACAAAACACCAATAGCCATCACAAATAAATAAAAACAAAAGAATACACAGATGCTTTTGAAGCATGTAAGTATATATAACCAGATACTTAATGTAAAATTTAACTTCAGTCTTACATGCTCCTTTCGGGGGGTATTTTTTCTGCATGGAATGGACTTTCTAAGGTTTCTTAAAATATATGTCGAATGAAGTTTAGACTAAATATGTTTTTTTTCCTTTTCCTGATACATCTTCTGGTGGTAATACAGCCTTCCTTATTATTTCTGGGACCTCTGAATGCCAGTTTAGAAATAGAGTCATCTACTTTATTATTTTTTTTTCAAAATTGAAAACATTTGTGTTCCTTTTCTTCTATTTTTTCCATATCTTTTTAGAAGTCTCCATGCCGCCGAAACTGGTTTGGCTCAGTGGATAGAACATCGGCCTGCAGACTGAAAGGTCCCAGGTTTGATTCCAGTCAAGGGCATGTACCTTGGTTGCGGGCACATCCCCAGTAGGGGGTGTGCAAGAGGCAGCTGATAGATGTTTCTCTCTCATCGATGTTTCTAACTATCTCTCTCCCTTCCCCTCTGTAAGAAATCAATAATATATATAAAATAAAAAGTCTCCATGACAATTCTGTATGTGTGGCTCTAACCAGAAGGCAGCTTTCAGAGTAAACGGCAGGAGCTGTGCTGACATTAGGTTGGGGGCAACTTGAGCCTCCTGGGAGCAGACACTCTCACTGTGTGTTCTCCGTGAGCCGGATCAGAGCCGAGCCTTTCAGCAGGAGGCACTCAGCGGCCGCCTGCGGGAGGGGCGAAAGGCTCCCGGGCGCTGAAGGGATTTGGGCAGCCGGCTGCAGGAGGTGCCAGTTTGGCACCTGGATTGTTTCCA